CAGCCCTTTTCGGGAAACCCTCGTCTTTATGGGTATTTAAGAATTATACCCAGCAAGATGTCGTGGCTCCTGTCGCCTCCACTTCGCGGGGAAGCTGCTGCCTGGCGGGGAGCTCAGCTGGTTCAGCCCACAGTTGGACCAGCCGTGGGTTTAATCAACTCCCTTTCCTCCCCACCACTGGCTCTTCCTTTACAAGGAACATTAAATAAGTGAGATCACGCTTTTCAGGCTCTCCAATTGCGATTTGCTCCAGAGTCGTGAATTCTAGACCATTAACCGGTTTGTTGTTACAGTTGTTGGGGGTTTTCAGCCCTCCAAGGGAATTACAGTATGAAACGCCAGCTTCTCACCCAAAACAGAGCTGGCGGACAAAGCAAACTCCCCTAAAGTTGGGGACTAAACCTTTGCCTTACAAAGGATGCAGGCATCAGTTTACATTAATCTAATAGGAGGAGAAGATCCTCTGCTGGCAAAGCTGGGGAAAAATATAATGATATTCCAGGCATTTAACTATTCCCTGCACCGAGGCTGGGACCTGCCTTCGTTAAAACTGAAAGCTGCCCCGGGTGATTTGTATATCGGATGAGCTGAACTGTCGTAGACATTTTTATTCGCATCCATTTACCACTTTTCCATGTTAATTATTTTTTTTTCCCCCAGATCCTACGTATTCCATTTTACTACCCTCTTACACAGAGATATATAAGGCGCCTTGCACACTTCTATATCTATAAGGTGCATTTTCCACATCAGAAAAAGTAGCCGGGGCAGGTTTCGGTGATATATAGCTACCCAGAAACAACAGTTCTGTGGGCTTCCCAGAGCCTGTCGATATTTTATTCCCCGTGTCATGTATCTATATATTTATTCTAAATACTTCCTTTCTGACCCTGGCAGCTAACTTCTTGCTCGAGTCACCGCAACCTCTTACAACTCCCAACCAATTTGGGGTGAAATTCGGTTGAGCAGAAAAGCTGAGCCATGACGGGATCTGTTTTTCCAACCTGCAGACGCACAAGGAGACCTTTTAATTTGCTTTTTCCCCCCGCTCTTTTTCCAGGCAGAAAGATGGAATAGATCTGTGGCAGACTATTTTTTTTTTCCCTATGAGGGTTAAATTTCATTATCTTTTCTGGGAGAAAACTGAAAGTGGGGCTAAGTCCTTCCCATCTGAAACGCAAATATTTTGCTGGGGCCGTTGGGCTGGGGATATCTGGATGGATTTTATTTTTATTTTTATTTTGGAATTCTTGTAGAGGCGAGGCTGGAGGGGAGGGGGAGAAAGAGCCTGTTCAAGTGGGAGCCGCCAGCCGAGCTCAGCCCCGCGGGCTGCGCAGGGGGAAGATGAAATGCGGGAGGAGGGGAAGGGGAAATTCTATTTCTCAAGCTCGGTGAAGAGGGGTTGCGATGGGAAGAGGAGGAAGGGAGGAGGCGCGGGGATAAAGCCCCCAAACAGAGGAGGGGAAAAGGGCAAAGCACAGCAAAGTCAACCCAAAACTTGGGGTTGTTGTTTTCCCCGTGCAGCGAGTGATGCTCACCCGAGACAGTCATTAGCATAAGATGTCGATCCCATTCACTACACTAGACAGTGACCTTGAACTGAGACGTTGCAATCTTGCTTTTCCAGCGTCTTTTTCTCTCCCTCTTTTTTTTCCCGGGGGCTGTTTTACCCCCGGTTCCCATAGGCAGGGACCTTCCCCCGGCTTCTTCCCACCAGCATTTCCCGCCAGCTGCCTGTGTGGAGGTGGGAAAAAAAAGAAACCCTCCCCGAGGATTACCCAACATCGGCGTCGAAAAGGTCTCTCTACCTGCAAACTGGGATTCCTGCAAGTGGGAAAAGGCTCAGAGATTTATTTTTGGCTGGGCTGGGCTTTTTTTTGTTGTTGTTGGGGGGTGGGAGAGGCGACAGGGGAAAAAAAAAAAAGGGGGGGGAGGGGGTTGCTCCAAGCGATATGAGGTAGAAATCGGAATATATTTTTGGAGAGCCGGCGCTCGGGGTGGGCTGTGCAGGGAGGAGGCTGCCTGAGCCAGCAGTGCCAGTGCCCCAAGCAGGAGGACTCGGTTCAGGCTTTGCTTTTTTAAGCACCGCTCAGCTTTTTCTAAGCCCAAGCGCTCACCCTGAACTGGGAAATGCATTTTTAATGGGGAAGGAATTCCCGGGGAAGGCGGCAGCTTTGCTTAAGTGTCCTTAGGATTTTTGTTGGGTTTTTTTACTATTTTTTCCCCCTCTTCCTTTGGACCTGCCGCCTGCTTGCAGCGCTGAGCTGGGGAGACCTCTTCAAGGCCACCAAGAGCAGGGAGTTACTCGCCAAGCTGTGCATCGCTTAATATATTTCCGAGCACGGCTGTAGCATTTCCCAGCTCAAAAAAAAAAAAAAAAAAAAAAAGGGAAAAAGAATAATAAATAAGGGAACGGGGGGTGATTTTCTCCTTCTCCCTTGCTGTGATGCCCATGCTGACATTCTCCCTCCACGCAGGACTCCAGTGCGCAGTTTGTGGCTCACTTGCTCCGCAGCTGCCTCCCCCTCAAATGTTTCCTTGGTGGTAAAGGTGAATTTTTTTAATTTTGTTGTGTTTTCACCCTGCAAAAAAAATCGAATTGAATAAAGAGGAAAAGCCCCAAATGCCCGGAGACTCCTCTGAAGCGAAAAAAAAAATATACTTTCCCAAGGTCCAGTGGAGAACAAAGCCGTGCAGCAGCCGGGCACGTCTTGTATGGGGAATTTTGCAAAGAAAAGAGCAAGGTAGAGGAAGGGTTTTCTTTTAAAAAAGCAGCAAACAAAGCCAATTCAGATGGCAACCTCCGGGGATCACGTGCTCATTTTTATATAAACTATTCCTCCCCATGCTTGCCCGGCGTGGCGAGTGCTTCTTCTGCAGCGAGAAGACACTCTTGAAGAAATCACAAGCAGCTTTTTCACTTATACCTGCAGGGAGAAAAATTCCTTGGCAAGGTTTAAAAAAAAAAAAAAAAAAAAAAAAAAAAAGGGGGAAAAAAAGTGCTAAACTTTCATTCTAGCAAAATATTTCTAGTAGTCGTATTTCTTCCTTCGCAGGCAAAGTGTGTGGGGAGGTACGCACGTATCTCTGCAAGGTATGTATGGAGCGTATCCAGAGATGTGCCAGGGAGAAAGAGGGCTGGGAAATATGGGGAACAGGGTTTCCACCTTCAGGAGGTGTCCATGGAAGACGAAAAAGCACCTAAATGAGTTATTTTACTGGCGTTATTCTTCTATCACATTCTATATCATATTCTATCTATGAGTCCAACATATCAAGTTATTCTTGCAGGGCTGGGAGGGGGGTTAGCTGAAGCCCCAGACGAGGAAAAAATGATTTTATGCTCGAGAACTCTATAAAATATTGGTGACGGAGGTTGGCTGCTGGCTGGAAAGGCAGCAGTTGGGGAGATGCGGCTGCAGCCGCGGAGCGCCTCCGCCCCCGCGCAGCGGTTTTACCTCTACAGGAATATTTACGGTACTTTGCAGAGTCAACCTGGCAAGGGGAGCGCTTGGGAGTTGCTTAAGGCAGGGAGGAATGCAGAGCCATGCAAAAATCCAGCAAAGGGGGTGGGCAGTTTGGTTTCTTAAAAAATAATTTAAAGACAAAAAAGAAAAAAAAAAAAAAAAAAAAAGGCGGGTGGGGGGAACAAGGGGGAAAAAAAAGAAATAAAAAACCACTCCAGGAAAAAATCTGAGATAAACCACCCTCAAATGTCTTTGCGTGTTCCCGGTTTCCATACAATGCACCTTTTGCAGGATTGCTTTTTGCTTCCTTCAACGTATTTATTTTGCACTGAAAGAAGCCAATATTGATTTTTTTTTTTCCCCTATCCCTCGTATTCCTTCGCAGCAGCTCTTTTCAGTACGACCAGGAGAAGACGATGGGTGGGAGGGAAGAAGAGCTCTGTGGTGTTACGAGGGCAGAATATATTGCTATAAGGTGGCGAGGAACCAGCTCCGTGTGTGTGTGTGTGTACCTCTGTTTCCAGGGGTGGGGACCAAAGAAGTGGGTGGGGGACTGTAATTTTGATTCTTTCCCAGAAGCGAAGCAAAACAAAAAAAGAGGTTTGAACACTTATTCTATACGTGTGTGCGCCTTGGTGCATATGAATTATATACCGGGTAAATTAAGGCTATACACAGTCATGTTCTTCTGGCTGCTTTATTCGACACAGATCATTAATAAAAGCGATTGAAGATTGTTAAAAAAATCTTCCATCCCTTCTTGAGAGAGTGGCAAGAGCCTGGGAAGAGGCTGCATTCCCCCAGCCCGCGACAAAGCCACCCAGTCCGAGAGGAGCGGAAAGAAAATAATAATAGTAATAATAATAATAATAAAAAGAAAAGAGTAGAAAAGGTCGCAAATAGCCTCCAACTCTGCCATCCCACCGCGCGTAAATATGAGCCTGTTGCGGGCACCATCATTCGTCTCCTTAAAAAGCCCGTAAACTTTATATGACACAATATCTAATAGTAATTTATTGGGGAGATACTGTAAATTCGAACTGTTTTAGTTAATAAAGGAGCTAATTAATGAGAACCAGCCTCGCTTTTGCAGATGGTGGAGGGCCCCGAGGTGTTGCCGGGGGAAGGGCGCGCAGCGATTTTGGGGCAAAACCCTCGCCTATCGATTATTTTATGCCAAATATGACATTTTAGGGTGCTCCGCGATTCTTAAGCCAGCGCTGGGAGCCGTTGCTTTTTTTTTTTTGCTTTTTTTTTTTTTTAATAAAATGCTTTATGGGATTTTTAATATTTTTTTTATGATTTGGGGGGGTGAAGAAGGCCGGGGGGGGACGACAGAAAAGGCGTAAAAAGGCGGAACTTGCTCTTGTGTTTTGTCTCGGCTGCCAGGGGAGGGGAGGGCCCCCCCCCCTCCCTCCCAGCGCAATTTGGGACTCACGTGACCCCCCCGGACCAATAGGGCCGAGCCGTCGGTTTAACTATGTTTAATGTCAGATAGCAATAAAGTAGAAGCTTTCGGTCAGGCCCGCGGAAATGGGCGAGCACAACCTCCTTAATCCCGGCTTTGTGGGACCTCTGGTGAACATCCACACGGGAGACACCTTCTACTTCCCCAATTTCCGTGCCTCCGGAGGGCAGCTGCCCGGTTTGCCTTCCCTCTCCTACCCCCGCCGGGATAACGTCTGCTCCCTGCCCTGGGCATCCTCGGAACCCTGCAACGGGTACCCTCAACCCTACCTGAGCAGCCCCGTCTCCATTAACCCTTCCTTCGGCAGAGCCTGCGACCTCGCCCGGGTGGAGGAAAGCAAATGTTATTACCGGGAAACCTGCTCCGAAAGCACCGGGCTCAAGAGGGAGGAGAGGGGCAGGGACAGTGCCTTGCTGCCCCTCGAATCCAGCCTCCCCAATGGCATGGGGGGCAATTTCAGCAAATATGACTATCCGACCAGCGAGGCGGTGCCCCACGACCCTCCGTCCTGCCAGTCCTTGGAGTCAGACTCCAGCTCGTCCTTGCTCAATGAAGGGAATAAAGGCACGACCGGAGAAGCGGGGGGTTTGGTGTCCCCCCTGAACCAAGGCAGCACTTTAGGCAGCGGTGGTAAGACCCGGCAACGAGGCTCGAGCTGGGGGGGGGTTGGGGTGGTGATGGGGTTTGCTTGGAAACTTGACGGCTTGGGGCTCCTCCGTGGTGTAATTCATGGGCTCAGCGATGGGAAGCGGCGTGTCTATGTGTGCTGAGACCACTAGGGGTAGCACCGAAATCCCTAATGTTTTATTAGGTGGTGCTTCTTTTAAAAGAAAAGGCTATAAACATGTAAATATCCCATAAAAGAAAAAAAAAAAA